TATATATAGCTCGGGAACCTCAGCAGGAAAACCGAAGTTGATGCCTTCAACGGCTCAAGAATTGGACAGGAAAACATTCTTCTACAATATGCTTGTGCCCGTGATGAACAAGTATGTACCACCTTGCTTCAGTTTTGTTCTTTTTCTGAATCTTGATCGTCAAGAAACAATCGGTGTTTTTTTTTTTTGCAGGTACGTTGAAGGGCTTGATGACGGGAAAGGGATGTATCTGTTGTTCATAAAACCCGAAATCAAGACTCCTTCTGGGTTAATGGCGAGACCGGTTCTGACGAGTTATTACAAGAGCCAAAACTTCAGGAACAGACTGTACAACAAGTACAACGTTTACACGAGCCCTGACGAGACAATCCTATGTCTCGACAGCAAGCAAAGCATGTTTTGTCAGTTGCTCTGCGGTTTGATCCAACGAAAAGACGTTCTGAGGGTCGGAGCTGTTTTCGCTTCAGCGTTCCTTCGAGCCATCAAGTTCTTGGAGGATCACTTCAAAGAGCTTTGTTCAAACATCAGGACCGGTGATGTCAGTGAATGGATCACTGACTCAAGATGCAGAAACGCTGTTTTGTCGATCCTTAAGCTTCCAAACCCTAATTTGGCTGACGAAATCGAACAAGATTGCGCTGAAAAATCGTGGGAAGGAATCGTAAAAAGGCTCTGGCCGAGAGCGAAATATGTTGAGGTCATTGTGACGGGCTCAATGGCGCAGTACATTCCGACCCTCGAGTTCTATAGCGGCGGTCTTCCTCTAGTTTCAACGATGTATGCTTCTTCCGAATGTTACTTCGGTATCAATATCAACCCTATGTGTAAGCCTTGTGATGTTTCCTACACGCTTTTACCAAACATGGCGTATTTCGAGTTCTTACCCGTCCTTGATGACAAGGACGATAACGATCCCAGAAACGATGATATGATCGTTGATCTCGTGGACGTCCAAATAGGCCGGTATTACGAACTTGTCATCACAACCTTTACAGGTCAGTGTTTAACTCAAAATCTTGCCTGGTTTTCGCATCTACTTTCTAATAATCATGTGATAAGTACATAAAAAAACGTATAACCCAAGAAATCTTTTCTCAAGAACTGAACTTCTTGATCCATTTTCAGTTCCAAGATTGCTCAAGAGAGAGCTGTCGGAATTCAAATCTTTGTTCTGAAACTGAAACAGGTTTATACAGATACCGAGTGGGAGACGTTCTGGTGGTGACCGGTTTCCACAACAAGGCGCCTCAGTTCGGTTTCGTGCAAAGAAGAAACGTGGTACTGAGCATAGATACGGACAAGACAAGCGAAGAGGATCTTCTCAAGGCGGTGACGAAATCCAGACAGCTTCTCCAAACTTCAAACCTCCTGCTCATGGAGTACACAAGCTGCACCGACACGTCATCGATCCCGGGGCATTACGTCATCTTCTGGGAGCTAAACCCCCGAAATAAGACCGACCCATTTGAGCTTAGCGCTTCAACAATGGAGGAATGTTGTTCCCAAGTGGAAGAATGTTTGGATTATGTGTACAGAAGATGCAGAAGCAGAGACAAATCAATAGGGCCTTTGGAGATAAGAGTGGTGAGAATGGGAACATTTGATGAACTCATGGACTTTTGTGTTTCCATGGGATCTTCACTGAATCAGTATAAAACTCCGAGATGTGTTAAATCCCAAGGCGCCATTCAGATTCTTGATTCAAGAGTTATTGGGAGGTTCTTCAGCCCAAGAGCTCCTAAGTGGGAACCACTTGGTTTAGATTCTAATTAGTTAATGTTGTGTTTGTAAGTGATTCTGTCCTTTTATTTTGTTTTGTGTTGCCTTGTATAGTAGCAAATGTGTACCGCAACCTTATAGATAAGTCCGTATTCGAAATATTTTTTATGTAATTAAAATTTGCATTCTCCTCCCCAATTTGAGACTCGAATACAAGTCGCAATTAATGCTTCACGTTTTACCGGTTAAGTTATTCAAATTGGATATATATATTAAAATACTGAAAAATAATTTATAAAAAAAAAAGATAGTGAGAAATACATATATATTTTAAAATTAGATAAATTACCATAAAAAATGTATAGTTTTATATGGAAAAAATCTCAATATATATATATATATATATATATATATATATAAATTGCACCTCTTTTTGGTTTGCATTAATATCCAAACAAAGTATCATAAGCTTTTAATTTCCATATTTTTGTCTTTCAATGTGTAAGAGGAGATTTAACTAACAGAGACAAACCGGTCTTCCTGTTGCGTTGGGTTTGATCTGCTTATCCTTCAGTTAACGCTCTGATGGGGTCGATGATGCATTGGTCCGATCTGACACCAACTAAAACTCGTCTCTTGGTCCCGACAGCCGCCGTGGTTGCCGAAACTTGGCGGATGAGTCTGTTAAACAGCAAACCCAACCCATTAAATGGAAAAAGGGATGTTTCGGTTGGTCCGTTTTGTACTATTGGTTCTTCGGAAAAGCTGGGCGATGGATGCAAACTATATCCTTCTAGCCACATCTTTGGGAACACAAAATTGGGGGATTCTTGCGTCCTTATGACGTAGGCCGGTTTTGCTCTTCTGACCGGTGGTATATGGTATTTCCTCTCAATTTTTTAACGTTGTTCTGGTGTGTGTGTGTATATGCCTTGATTTTTGTCAGCCAGTGGTGCTGTTGTTGATGATGATGATCTTCCCGAGTTATAGGGTATATCAACGTTATTCTCGCGTAGGGGTAACGTAACACAAACATGGGATTTATACAAACATTGCATTTCTGATTTTAAAAACGAAAAAAATATCTCTGGTTAATCCTCAATTAATTGATGTAAAAAATTTAAACAAAAATAGCATGGTTCAAATTGGAGTTTGAATTATTGTTGTGTAAATAGTCAACATGCAATGCGTGCCAAAGTAAATAATAAGAGTGTATATATATATTCTCTTTATGAGCAAGAAAACCCCCAACGTTATATATAGTAATGCTATTTTCTTCGTTTATGGCCATTAACGTCCTTCTCGTAGTACTCGTCCGAGAAAGAAGACGCCATTATTGTTGGACCGACGACATTGTCTATATTAGTAACAACTAACGAAGAAGATGAAGAATGGTCGGAGGGATTTTCTTCTCCGGCCGTGGTTTGATGATCGATGCGTTCGGGGAAATTAAGCTTTGCCCTGTTGCCTCTGAATCTGAAAGCGGCTTTGTCGTACGCTGAGGCGGCTTCTTCCGCTGTATCGAACGTTCCTAGCCAAACCCGAGCCGCTTTGTTCGGGTCGCGGATCTCGGCTGCCCATTTCCCCCAAGGCCTTTGCCTCACGCCTCGGTAGTTTCGTTGGATCTGAATATGATCTTCTTCTGCACATACATACATACATACATTATGATTCATTGAATTATGGAATCGAATTTTCTTTGTGTTATTGATAAAAACAATGAGGAAAATGTTCTTTAAATACAAAGAGGAACGACGAAAACTATGATAAATCCTAACCAAATCATATTAGAAATCATCTAACTGATATAATATGATGATGTATATGACGAAACCATGTTTATGAGAAAATTATAATAAGTTTAACATGAGATTCGTAATATCCTCTAGATTAAGCTTAGCAGATAAAGGGAGGGTCTATATATATATATATATATCATATCGATCGATTCATTTTCATTACAGTTAATTAAACAGCATATCAAATAAAACGAGATGTAAAGCTAAGTGAGAGTTCTTCCCCTAATCGCCAACACTTTCACTTAGGGTTTTCCATGACCGAACCCTAATCTCGACATCTATGTTCTCTTAGCCTACTCCCTTTCCTCAAGACCAAAACATCGCATTTTGCAATTTTACAACAATAGAGAATCTTCATATCCCATGAAACTTATTTCGAAAAAAAAAACACCTGGTCGTTAATCTAAATCCGAGAATCGGTCCATCCCAAAATTTGGACACACACATATATGTTGATGTTATGAATAAAGCGACTTCTTATTGCATTGTTAAAACCCGAGTTTTCTTTGCTCGTTAGCGATGAAATTCCATCATAGACAACCAATTTGTGGCATCGGCTAAGGGATGATATAGAACAAGAAAAAAGTATATATGGGACAGTTACCTCGACCGTGTTCGGGAATAACGAACGGATACGGATACGGTACAGATACGGATTGATCGTTGGTTTGGATGGCTTGGGAGAGCTCAGAGACCAAGGCGGAGACATCGGATTCGGACAAAGTACTCGAACACGATATTGAACACAAGTCGTCGTTGTGCTTCACTTGTTCTGATCCCTTGCCTTGATCTGATTCTTCTCTTGATAGAGGCCTTTTTCCATGCATTGTTCGCTCTCACACCAATCGGTTAATTTTGGCTAGGGTTTTTGTTTTTGTACTTGTAAGATTAAGGAAAAAAAATGTTGGTATATATATATATATACACACACAGAGAGACATTTCAATTCACTCCGGAGAAAAGTCGTAATCCGACTTAATTTTTAAGATATATATGAGAAACAAATGATGAATTGAAATTATTGATTTGCTAAATGGATCAATCGATTAGAAGATGCAGTCTTTGAATACGTAAATAAAAGGATGGTGCAGTACTATTTGTCCCCCGCACGCCGTCGTACGTTCTTCGAATTTGTATGCATATTATATAACATACGAGTCTATATATAAATTGAATCTATATCATTTATAACCAACGGTTGACTTAATCAATTCAAATGGAAGAATTAAAATAAATAAATCGTTCCATTCTTTTTCCTAATTCAACATATACATAGTTCATTGTTAAGGAGACACCTCAACAATTTAATCTCGGATCAATCTCAATCTACCCTTACTTTAGAAACTCGTGAATTACGTTCACGTTTTTTTAATTATTATTATTATTATAAATTCAAGATTTTCATTGATTTCGATGAATGAAGATGGTTTGTAAGATAATCGCAGTGCATGCATTTGCGATTCGATCGTCAATTCAGGCGGGTAACCTGAAGCATTGATTAATTTAATTTTAATAATCCCCTCTCGATGTGACAGATTTTAAAACAAGGAAGAATCTCGAAGTTATTAAGAAATCGTTACCATGACGTATGGGCTTACATAAGTGTGCGGTCAAACCCTATATTTTATAGCCAGAGGAGACTTGCACGAACGTATAAACTAAACTAAGCCCACCACGAAATCATGTAACCCATTGATAAATTGCATTATAAGTTTTGGTTAAGGTGGTTTAAATCATGTAACCCTTTATAACCACGTTTATCTCTAAATCTTGTATATATAAATAACGAGGTTTAAAGCAATTTGGTGAATACATCTCAACATACAACTTTCTAAATTTTTATTGGTTTATAAAAATTTATATTAATCTAATTAAATGCGTTAATTTAAAAGTAAGTGTACTTTGGGAGTATTATACATTTAATTTAAAGCCACTTTTCATAATTCATCCATATTAAAACCACAATTGGAGTTACATTCTAATAAAATAAATTGAAGAAGTTGTAAATAAAATTTTATATAATTAAATAAGAAATTTTTAGAATGAAGAAATGAATAACCAACAACAATGAAATGATTTTTTTTTTATAAAAATATGATTATTTACAGTAAAAATAAAATTTCATATATACAACATGAATTTATCATAATTATCTAGTGGAGTGATTAACCTTGTGGGCAGATCAACATTTGCTAATGAATGGGCCCTAATGATTTAAGCTCCGAAATTGTAGGGAAGCAATGTCCAAATGATTCCAAACGATTCTCGTTGAATTTGGAAGAGAAGGCAAGAGGAAGATTTCCGCACTTAAAAGGAAACGTTCCATATGCAGATACTACTAAGCCGATCCAACAAACATGCCTTTTTAGGTCGTTTAAGGCTTAATTAAGGGGGATAAAATGAGTGTTTATTCACGTCGAAAATGTATTTTTCATAAGAAAAATGTAAAAAGGTGTTTAGTTTCGTTTAATTATTTTATAATTAAACCTCCGTTGAGTATCCTACGTGTCTGTCTTGTTTATTTTCACACACACACACTCTCTCTATCTCTCTCACACACACAATACAATACAATATATATATATATATATATAACAAATATATGTTAGATACGGATTTTATCAATAAAATTGTTTACTCTATAAATTAAAATGCGTTTTACTATTTATAAAATAAAATGGCGGTGTAAGTTATAATATATATAATTGATTAGCTATTAATTGTGCTGTATTTTTTGCATTAAAAAAATTTATATTTTAATAGAGACGGATTATTTGAACACATTGCACATGATTCTTGCTCGGAGATGAGCATGTATAGATCTTAACTGCTCTGAGCAAACTGACCCGAATTCTGATTTTTTTTCAGATTCAGACATCCTTTGCATGGGTATTAAAACCAAAAATCGGACAGTTATTGTACAAATCATAATAATGGATCCATGATAATTAATCTATTTTACACTTTTGTGAAGCATGGATAAAGTTGCCTAAACGCATGATAATGAATCCATTATTGAATCTACATACACTTAAATCTTTATAGGGTTTATCATGTGATATATATACATACACATATATATGTATATGTTTTGAAAAATTAAATCCATTTATACGAAACTGTTTGTATGTCTTTCAATACTTCTAATTTAGCATTTTCCCTATATCATGAAAATAAGAGCAATCTATTTTCTTTTACAGGATCCTAAATTTTGATGACTCCGCAATTTTATAAAAAAAAATAAATAAATTGTATTTAGTAATAATTATTTTTCAAAGTTGATTATAATAATTTTAACGGGATTCCACAATTTCTAACGTCTAGAAATATTAAAAAATTTAGTATTTGTGATTGGCTTTTACTATAATTTTATAAGGTCTAGACTTTTTAAAAATTAAATTTTATATGAATTGTAAAGATGTGAAAATATTTGAGAAGATTCTCTTAATATCCTTCTAGGTTATTACACGTTCTCTTGATACAAATATTTCTAGGTCTTATATATAAGAATAGACCCCTTATTATCCCTTTTCTTTTCTCGGGAAAAAAGGGCTGATACAGAAATACATGCCCTTTGGTTTCGAGTTCTTGAATCTTGATAACGTTTATGTTTATTATATAAATAACGAAAATAATCATTTGGATCCGAGGAGGCTGCAATCATTAGCGTTAATTGCATGTGATTAGCCCATCATTAGATCAAGTGATTTATCCCAAGAGAAGCTTGGAATAACATATAGAAAAACAAACAATTTCTGAAAATTACCTAGCTTGGTTTTATATTAAGTACGATCAATTAAAATTCAATCTATATAAATTGGATATATAAGCACCGAAAATTTAAACTTAATTGAAAACGTTGTATATGTCGATTATGCGACTACTTAAACTAAAAACAAAGAAAACGATGATGAAGGCCTTTTTGGCAATCCTATTATTAGAAGAGTTCAAATATCAAATATATTCCGTTTTAATTTTGTTTAACTATTTAATTTTTGAAATTCATATAATTTCCCCATGCGTTTTATATCATTACACGATCTAAACCGGTTGAAAATGCTTTAAAAACATATTAACATGAACTAATTAATACAATTCTTTGATCAAATCCACCGGAGACTTAGTCCCACATATGATTCGATATCGGGCCCATAAAAAGGCAATGAAATTCACTTCCACGCATATGATTGGAGGGTGATGATGATCTGATTTCGCCCATTATTTCATGTGACCATTGCAAAATCAGCCTAAAGTTGTAACCTTTTGGCACGAAAAGAAGGTCCTAAACACAAAAGGTTCACACTCTTATTTAAACACGACCAAACCCAAGTTCCATAGACAAACAACCCAAGCTTGAACCCTAACTCATTGTCTAATCACCTTCTTACAATCTCCTAGACAACTACTTAGATATGGAGTTTAAGGGTAACTCGAAATCGGGTTCATCCTCAAAATCCAAGAGATCTGAACAAAAACAGCAGCAGCAACAACAACAACGGGACGACGAGATAAGGTATCTAGGAGTGAGGAGAAGGCCATGGGGAAGATACGCGGCCGAGATAAGGAACCCTACGACTAAGGAGAGGTATTGGTTAGGGACCTTTGACACGGCCGAGGAAGCAGCCTTGGCTTACGACAGAGCCGCTAGGTCGATGAGAGGCTCATCGAATGTTGCTCGAACCAACTTTGTCTACTCTGACATGCCACGTGGCTCCTCGGTCACGCCCTTTGTCTCCCCTGACGAATCCTACCGGTTCATCTCCGAGATATTCAACTCTCCTAACAAAGTCGAAAACTATACGTACAACAACCAATACCCATTAGTGAATAACCAAACCCCGCTTCACTTCTCGTGTAACAACAACAACAACGATAGTCTGAACGCTGAGCCCGTGAATGTGAATGTTGAAGGATGGTTTGAAGGAGCGGAATGCAGTTATCAGACAGTGGATAGCAATGTCGTTCAAAGTCATAACCATGAGCTTCCTCCTCTGCCTCCAAGCACTTGTTATGGAGCTGAACTAACACTTCCCCAGACCGATTTCTACGCAAATTCGTATTTGGGACAGTCGTCGTGCCAAGATGTAAACGGACTCAATGCTGCGTTCGGCATGGAAGAGTTTGCGTTCAGACACAACAGCTTCATGGATCAAGACCCGCTTTCCTGTACGGGCAATGACGGGTTGGATTTGGATTTCGATTCGGCCTCCGGATTCTTCTTACACTAACTTTTCTCCTTTGGTTTGTTTCTTGGCACTCATCAAAATTCCGTCACGTTCCCTAATGTTTTCGGGTTGCTTTTTTTTTTTTGGGTTTATATTGTATGAGACTATGTTTTCTATGTAACACTATGTTTTCCACAAGTTTTTTTTGTGATAGTGATCTGTTTCATTTGGACGGATAGTTTCATTTTCCACGGTTTTATGCTTCATTTGCTTAGTTTATTCAATGATCTTTTAAAATATCTTTAGTTTTAAGATTTTTGGGTGAAAAAGAAAAGAACAAACTGTTTGGAAAAAAACACAAATAAAATTCTTATATGGAAAACAACGATATTTATTTAAATTAGATATACCTCTTTGATAATTCGCATGCAAACGAGCCCAGACTAATGTTTTCTCTTTTGGTATCACGTTTCACGTATGGGTTATAGAGTTACTACTATAAACTGTAAACAATATATTAGGGTTTTTATCTAGGATTTAACCTAGGTAAAAGCCTAATACTTCATTTACAATAGTACCATTATAACAACTATATATATATATATATATATATATATATCTAGTAATTTCTTTTTATGTTTTTCATGTGATGACCATGAATAGCCAAATTGTGTATAAAATCATGTGAGATGAACGTTTGTTTGTGTGTGTGTGTGTTTTTTTTAATTTATAATTCATAACTTAACCGAATATTCGACTCAATTATATATATCAGAGGATCGAAAAAATCCATATGAATGACCCTCTCTATATAAAGATTCAAACCTGGATTGAGAAGTAAATTTGATCCATCCCGTACTAGTTGAATCACCTGATTTTGGATAAAAACGTTCGTGTTGTATTCATTGATGATCTTTGTTTTGATCCAATGCTTTTGGTTTTTAACAGAATCAAATCTCTAGGTTAAGGTTATGACATTCTTGATGTTGCTTTTTTTCTCATTTCTGGTGTCTAGTTATGTTCTTAGGTTGCTCAAGACAGCGACCAAATTCATCACTTGCTGCCATTGGTTTGTGCAAATACATCGTGAAGAAGATGTTCCTTGAGTGCCTTTGAAATTTATCCACATTGCCTCACAAACTCGACCCGACTCGTTCTTTAAACGTTTAAAACAAATATCAACACAACTCGTTTAAAAACAAATTTTTTACGGGTCAACTCGCGAGTCACGGCTCGTTTTTCTCGGTTTACAATGCATGAGAAAACTTCTTCGATAAAAATCTTCAAGCATTCCCCGAAATTTCCATTGTACGGTTCGTTACATCGAACACACTCGATGAGTAGATGAAGATCTTGGATGCGACAATCCGATACCGACATTGTTCTGTTCTCTAACTCTTCCATCTAGCAACTGCTAATATATAACCTAAATGCTCAATAAAAGCACATATACATAACTTAACCTTATTCCCTTTCACCAAAGCGAATGCTTCATCCCGAGGCCATTGCAAGTCAGTATGAGCCCTCCATATCGGCGAAGAAATTCCTGAAACAGATGACGGGAATTGATGGAAATCAAAATCAAAACGTAAAATGTGTCATGGAAGCTCGGAGTTTTCGTCGTTACCATGTTCCGTTCATGGTCATGGATCATCCTTTTCTTGTCGTATTCTCGTCTCTTGATAGGGTCGCTTAAAACTGTCAAGAAATCGGTCAGTTTCAACGGTTAAGTACAAAAGGGCAGAACTCTGATAACACTCATAACATGTCTAATGCAGATATGATCGGTTAGGGAAAAGAATCAATCACTGCAATGAAAGTTTCAATCTTTAGTTATGCATATAAGAAAGCCATGAAGAGTCGAAAAGATCCATTTCATGATTCCTCCGAATCATGCCCGCGGCTGCGAGCTATTATGTCGAAAACTCGGCAGATAAACAAGTTCCAGGACTGAATTCCTCGGTCGAGAAAGAATGGTAGCTTCTGTTCTAACATTCAGATTAGTCTTCAGGGCATGGAAAAGCCCTGAAATTTACGAGGTCATTGTCATCTCATTCTCAGTTTTTGTCAATCCAGCCCCATGAAGATCCACATGCATTGAAACCAAAATCTAACCACCAAGCTTCGTTCTTGAACAGAGTTATAGCAAAATCAACTGCTGAAGAACGAGAGAGACAGAGAGACCAGACCTTGGTAGGCTTCGTTAATCTCTTGAAACCTGGATGTTGCACTGTCTTCATCTTTGTGCTTGTCCGGGTGCCATTTCTGCAAACATTAGCACAACTCCCTCACTCAAGAATCCAAACCCTAAACTCTGAATTCGGAAAAAAGATCAAAACTTTTGCAAGAAGGGAAGAGAAAAGATCGAAGGGCGTTGAAGAACCAGAGCAAGGCGGATAAAGTTGGAACGAATATCATCATCTGAGGCACTGGACTCCAATTCAAGGAATTTATAGAGATCCTACAAGAACCCAACAGAGAAAACTGCCGTAATGATCGAAACCCTAACCAGAGGAAACACAATAATACCGAAACAGGGAAGAAAGATCGTTCCTTTTCACCTTGTAGCTCTCGAAGACATACATGAAATCGAAATCGGAATCGGAATCGGAATCGAGAAAGGAGCCATTGTTGTCCTGTTCAGTGTGCTGTTGTTCTTCTCCCCAATCGTAACACCACATTCGCTGCGAACAAAACAGCTGATTCGAAGCTCTTTTATCCACTTTCTCCTCTTTCCTCGGCACTGCAGATAAGTCACGAACGAGTTTGTCTGAATATTCGAGGAAAAATAACTACATAGGAAATTCCAAAAATAGCCCCTCTTTTTGCTTATTTTCATAAAATAAGCCCGTAATTTTAAAACGTTTTCTATTCCCCCTCTATATGACAAATTGTAACCAAATTTGGCATATATGTGAAAACAAATGCTAAATAGATTTTATATATTTGAATGAATGATTTAGAAATTAATAATTATTTGTAAAAAAATTATGAAATACATTTTTGGAAAAATATAATGATTAATTTTTCTTAACTTTTTTTGTAGTTTACTTGAGATTAGAGAAAATGAATAGAAAATGAATAGTTCGGTTCAAAACGAATATGTAAGAAGACTGTAAGGTATAATTTCAACCACAAATTTCTCATTTACTTCTTAAAAAGAAGTTTTTAATTGATCATATTTCTCATAATTCTATACAAAAAAATTGATAAAAAATATGTATAAAATAATGCTTTCCAACAAATGGATAATATCTCACTCAAAGCTAGACATTTTTATTTTTATGAATATCTTGACAATATGAAATTTCAAATGTTTTCAAGAATCAATAAAACTGAGGAGTACCCTTTATTTTAAAACTTTGCGTTTTGTCCCCCCATATATTTTGTTTATTACCATTTTAGGACAAATCCGCAGCTTCCAGAAACTTTTTTAGCCTCAAGCAAAGAACCTTTTCTGCAAATGCGTATAAATACGAACGTTGGTGAAACCCAGCGATGGCTTCGTCTGCGACCAGCAAATTCTCGGCGGTTATCGTATCTTTCGCCGGAATACGACGACGTTTACCGATCGTGGGTGCATTTTGTATGCTAAGTTTGGGTTTCTCTACTGTATCCTTATCTTCGTCGTCTTCTTCGGCTTCCTTCAAAACGGGTTGTGCTCAATCTGTCTCGTTTGCCCCCCTCTTAAGGTAAAATACACGAAAGTTTCGATTTTTCCATTTTTGATGGTAAATATGTTTCTGGGTTTTGATCTTTGATGTGGAAAGTTTCGATTTTTTCGACTGTTGATGATAAATACGTTCTGGGTCTTGATCTTTGATGTGGAAAAATTGCAGGTCGAGGTTTAGCAGTAAGGCTTCTTCTTCATCGGTTGATGCGATCCGAATGGCAGAGAGGAGCGAGACTGTGCCCAGCATTGTTGTCTATGTCACTGTTCCTAACAGAGAAGCAGGTGTTTTGCTTGTTCATACTTTCAATTGCTTGTTTTGATCGGGTTTAGTCCTTGAATTTCGACAAAGAAAATTTTCGTGCTTTTATTGATCGCCCATCGATCTAATTGGTTCATAGGAATCTGTTTATTGTGTTTGATCATGGCACGGTTTTTTATATGATTCTGGAAATGATATTTGGGAGAACTGATTTCAATAGAGTTCATGTGTTTTAGTATACATGTTTTTCTCCTAGTTTCTGAATTCCAATAGCCCTATCAGTAAGGATGTCAAGTAGTGAAGATTTGGCATTTTCTTTTCTTTCTTGAGTCAGGATGAAAGACATGGAATCTCAGTGTTTGGATGGTCAGAAAATGGGGTAATATCTAAGGAGAATGTTTCAGACATGGAGAGAAACCGATATAAGCTTTGTCTGAGACTGGACATAGTGGAGTTTAAACTTTTACACGGCTTATAATTTCTTGTTCATCTTAACTGCCTCCATTGCCACTCTTACAAAATGATCAAATTTTTATTAAATTTGTTATTGTCTGACCAGGAATGCTATTGCCTGATTATTGTAGTTATTTTTATTAAATTTGTTGTTATATTTAGTATTTACATTTTGGCTCATTACTTGTGATGATGATGTATATTGAGTTCGAAGTTTATGCAGTCTCTTACTGTTTTTTCTTTCTTTTACTTCATCGACAGGGAAGAAGTTGGCTAACAGCATAGTCCAAGAAAAGCTTGCAGCATGTGTTAACATTGTGCCGGGTATTCACCATCTCTTGTTTTTTACCCGGTTCTCTTTTACCCCCGTAGAAATCTTCACTACGCTAGGGTTTTATTCTGTCAGAACTTAGACGATATTTTTGTAGAGATCCTTCTCCTTCTGCTTAATCAGTTGAGTTCTGGTTTGGATGTTTTTTCCGTGAGGAAAAGAACAAAGTTAATCCAAGGGCATTGGACATATAAATAATATCATGACGAAAGTTTGTTGAATCTAATTTTGATAAACTTGTTATATGGTTCTTGCTTTGCAATCTGATGAATAAAATAATCGTGACATGTTTTCTGCGGCTGAGTAATTCCAGATTCATGGAAGAAAACGAGTAGAATGCTTACATCATGCCGAAATATCTTTGGTTATGCATGTTTTCTTGGATGCAGGTATTGAATCAGTGTATCAGTGGGAGGGAAAGGTAATTTCATAACACATCGTTAACATTTTCCATTCCGGGCCTGATTCCTCCTCCGTGCATGAAGATCAAGATCAAAGTTGATTACTATCAGTTTCTATATAAGCATTGGGTCATCTTGTGCTAAACAGATTAGAGTCAAGATCTTTGTTTCTTTTCTTTACTTCAGATCCAGAGTGATGCTGAGGAGCTTCTGATCATCAAGACAAGGCAATCACTTTTGGATGCTCTTACAGATCATGTCAAAGCAAATCATGAATACGAGTAAGTGCGGTTCTCCTGCGTGATTCAGTCAAATCTTTTTGCCCGTCATCTCCCATGTTCTTATCTTTCAAATTCAAACGTATATATTCTTATCGATTTCTGCCTACTTGTTGTTTCTGCAGTGTGCCTGAAGTAATTGCATTGCCTATTACTGGTGGGAGTCCTCAGTATCTGGAATGGCTAAAGAACAGCACAAAGGACTGAATGAATCCTCACAGCTCTTGGACGATGCATCAATGGGTACAAATCATGGTTTCTTGTGTTTGAAATTTGAGCTTTATGTGTTCTAGTTCCACATAACAAACACGTTCCATCTATGTTCTGTCAGTAAGCTTCCATGAGCTTGAATAATAAGATATGAACCTTGAAAATGCCATGATCATTTACAAGAATGTACTCAAATGATATCATATCTGTGCTCATAACAGAACTTTGTTCATTACAGACACGTGAAGTTGGTAAGATAAAAAAGAAAATGCATCATATGTGCACTTCACATGCAAACCCATTAACCAGAATCCATGGTTGTCAAAGGAGTCTTCTTGGATGTTTTTCTCAGATGGGTTATAACTCTGTTTGTTGATGGATTCATTCACTGCCTTAAGCTAGTTGTAAGTTGACAGAGACAATACAACATGCATGAGCGGTTCTTTCCACGTTTTTCACTGGCTCCTAGATCATGTGAGTTCATAAGAAACTTCATAGGTTTCACTCAAGAACATTCCGACATTACCCATCTGTTAACCAGAAAAAGACTTCAGATTCAGACACGACAAACTGCAAACTTTTTTTTTGATAATATGGGGTTTCACCGGGCCTTTGCCCCGACTACATCTTCCAGAGGGTCGGGGAAGTCTTTGCCCCGACTACATCTTTCAGAGGATCGGGAGGATTGGGAAGTACAGTGAATGACCCTCCAACTGTATACTTGTGAGCTATAAACCCAAGAATTTACTTCCTATCAAAGGCCAAGAAGAAACACCGTCGGGTTGAGAGACAGATAAGCGGCGAGAGGAAACGAGAGAGGGTGGGTTTCCCGGTGAGGGAGAAGAGATGGCTGAGTGAGAGAGGATACGTCAACGAGAGCTGCTAGACCAAACAAAAGTTCGGAACCTTCTGATAGAATCAGAGGTTCAAAATCTCATTTCATTAATATATTTCTCAGACACGTCAAGATCTTGTACGTGCGTAGGGGTTAACCAAATTCTTGCTACTCATTCATTTTCCGTAGAGAAATGCGAAGATTCACCTGGGTATGCTTCGAAAATCTTTTCTACGATAATTTTCTTTGCTTCTCAGTCCAAAATTGCTTCCGCTGTTTGTTTCCCGGAAAAGATTGATTTCGTAATTTCCATTTTCCGTTAGATTCTGCGGCATTTACAGGCGAGAAGAATCGTTGAATCCGCATTCGGACAGCGACCAGGTATTGGCTGATCATCCCTTAGATAAACTAGGGTTCGTAGATTTTTTAAGGGTTGGTGTGTGTCAACTTTCTGCCTACTACATGTTCGACAAAATGCCACTTCGAAAATGGATCCTTATGAGGCTTTCATCAAAAACATCACACCTCGAAATCAGTCTCCGTACAAATCGTACACTCTTCGGCTAAAGTCTAATGATGTCTGTGTTTTTTTCCTGTGTTATAAAAGCTTCACAAGCTTGCAATTACATCACTTGGAAGTCCTCAGAAGTTGCAGGATTTCAAAAGCCATTTTCTCAGCGTTATATTCACGCATCAGGTTGGCCTCTTTGTTGCTTTGAGATGAACTATGAAACCCATGTTTCATTATCATCGTATTCATGCCTTTGTTGTTTCGTTTCATGGTTTTCTCAGGAAGATCCTGCTTTGCGGCTGGTGATTACTATGAAATCCTGGGTGTTTCGCCGGGTGCAACCCGGGATGAGATTAAGAAGTCATTTCATGAAGTCAGTACCCATTTGGCCATTGTGAATGAATCACTGTTCAGTACTTCTCACATTGTCAGTATATTTTCTGATTTGAGTGGACGACTCTGCAGCTCGCGAAGAAATATCATCCCGATGCAAATAGGAATAATCCTTCTGCTAAAAGGAAATTTCAGGAAATAAGAGAAGCTTATGAGGTCATTTTGCTGCCTCTACTTTACTTTTCTTTTGTGCATGTGAATGCGGTTTGTGATAAAGTTTTGGTTGGATTTCCAAACTGTGCAGACCTTGGGAGATTCTAGGAAAAGAGAAGAATATGATAAGGTACACTTGTGTTGTTTTTAGTGATTTTTTGGCGATATCAGAGTTCAGATGTTATGATGCAATTCAACTGCGATATTAGGAAATAAGAGAGGCTTACGAGGTCATTTCTGATTTGATCGATGACTTTATTTGTTGTTATGATGCAATTCAGCTGCGATATCAGAGTTCAGATGATGTAAAGTATGATGGAGCTGATACAGAGAGCTTTAGGCGTGCCTACCAGACTCATTTCTCTGATTCATTCCACAAAATTTTTTCCGAGGTTTGTTATGTAATCCTTGTTTATTGATATCAGTTTATGTGACTAGTCAGATTTCTCAGATAATTAGTTCACTTGCTTTAGATTTTTGAGGAGGAAACCGAGAAATTTGCATCAGATATTCGGGTCAGTTACTTTGATCTCTCTTGTCTACAGTCAAGCTGGTCGGCGTATGTAAATCTGGTTGTGTATGGTTCCTTAATGGATACAAATATTTTGTGTTGTTCTGGATTGAATAGGTGGAACTGGTGCTTTCTTTTTCTGAAGCTACAAAAGGGTGCACAAAGCAATTGTCTTTTGATGCATATGTTTTATGTGATTCCTGTGGTGAGTGGACACAAAACTTGTTGTATTTTTTCTTAATTGATGTAGATGCTGTCTTAACGTATTGCACTTAGCGATCTCTTGTTTTACGAATGACACCTCTTAATTGATCTTTTGAAGCAATTATACTATTCTAGTTTTTGGTAGAATGCATTGCATTTTGCATCCAAAAACTCTGCCAGATGTACCAACCTAAAGAAGAATTCCCATATGCTTAGTAATTAACTCACGGTACATTGTAGTAATACTTCTGCAGTCCCTTATAGTGACCATTCTTCGATTATCTAATTGCAGATGGGCGTGGCCACACTCTTAATGCCGCAATGGGAGTTTGCCCAACTTGTAGGGGGGTTGGACGAGTAAGCTAAAATTAGAGAATCACCTAAGAATATAATTTGTTTAACAACATAGACAACTTTTACATATTATGCCATCTGACTCTTTAACAGGTAACTATTCCTCCTTTTACAGCAACATGCCACACATGCAAGGGATCAGGACGTGTTGTTAAGGTCAGAGAAAAAGAGCTTCTATTTGATTTTGATGCCTTAGTGTCCTCTATATGTTAACAAACATATACTTTCTGTTGTCCTTCTATCCAGGAATACTGTATGTCCTGCAGAGGATCAGGTGTTGTGGAAAGCACAAAGGAGGTTAACGTGGTGATTCCTGGGGGTTGGTTTGTGAATCTTGATGCTTTGATTTTATCTCCAAATATATACATATATATATATATATATATGTTTGTTCAGTTATAACATAAGTTGCTAGCTTTTAGTCCCCATTGGTGTATTTGTATCCATTAAAGGATTTGCTTAGCTCAATAAGCTTTAGCTTCTTATTTCTGCTTAGTTCGATAATTTTTCTTACTCTAGTATATAAATTGTTTTTAAGTTTGTTTTACTTGAATCGGCTTTGCCAGATGGTGAAAATGATTAAAACTTTGTATGATCAAAATATTACCTGTACAATGTTTATTTGGTAAGACTTTTACTTATTTCTTTCTTTTTATCTTGACTGCATCAGGGGTCGATTCTGGAGATACAATCCGAGTCCCAGGTGCTGGTAATGCTGGAGGAAGGACAACTCAACCCGGGAACTTGTATATCAGACTAAAGGTACATTAAGTTTACTTATTCCTCCAGATATTCAGCTTCACATATCCATTCGTTTCTCTTCTTAATCTGTGATCTTTTTTGTCACTCTCAGGTTGCCGATGACCCAGTTTTCTCTAGGGATGGCTCAGATATCTATGTGGATGCTAATATCAGCTTTACACAAGTAAGAACTAATAACTTTGTTATATTATTTGCTAATGGTATATTGGTTTTACATGAATCACTGATGTTTTCTATCCAGACACGTCTTTCCGGGTAAGTTGGTAACTTGGTTGTATTTACTGCAAACTCAGTCTGTTGTTGCCCACCCATAAAACCTCACGTGCAATCACAGCTGCAGTACATGTTACCAAAACTACGGACCATAGTCCAAAGTAATGGTTGCAGCCTCGGTGGCAACTTCATTTGTGAATTTTAGTAATGAGACACTACCTTTTCTGTCTCCTTGTTTACTTCTGCTATTCCTCTCTCTGAAATGTATCCGACATGAATAGCACTAAAACCTATAACGAGTTTTAAAAAAGAGAATTTTGTGTATTCGGTTTGATAGGCCATTTTGGGCGGCGAAATCGAGGTGTCGACACTATCAGGCAAGATACAGTTAAATGTAAGATTACTTTTCCTTTCAAAGTTTTGTGTTTTGCAACTGTTTGTGGCATTCTAGTTGGTTTTTCTTTCCTGTTTCTTGAGAAATTTTGGTTTGTAATCTTAAACATCTTGGAAATGATGGAAGTGAATATCTATGATTGTCCCAGATACCAAAGGGGGTTCAACACGGCCAACTTGTTGTTCTAAGAGGCAAAGGTACATCTGAATATACTCTATCTTTGTAGATCTGCTAGGAGTCTTCTAATGACGAGAATTCTTGCAGGACTGCCAAAACAAGGCTTCCTCATAGATCATGGCGACCAATATGTGCGATTCCGTATTAAATTTCCCACGTGAGCTTTTCTTCTATTCTTAAGTCACCTCTCTTAAATTCCTGATTTGCTTGCTTATGCTGCTTCATTATATTCGTATATCCTCCAGTGAAATAAATGAACATCAGCGTGCTATACTGGAAGAATTTGCAAAAGAAGAAATTAAGAACGAAGCAAGTGCTTCTGCTGAAGGAAGCTGGTGAGTTGGTATTTTGTTTAGAGCGTCTGTTATAATAGCATGAGTGTCGGTAATCGACTTCTGAAGCAAACGCAGCACCATTGATGCAACAGAGGATATCGATAATTAGCGATATAATGTGAGATTTCACAAAAGTGATGTAGTTTATCTATAAGCCTTTTAGGGACAAGAAATCAGGACAGAGGGTATACTATAAGGATATGGAATCAAAAGCGAGATAAATGAAATACATAGATAGATCTTCTGCATGTACAACAAGAGAGGAAATGTCGGCTTTTAAGTTTGTAATCTGATGCATTCATGAAACTAGAAGCTAGCAAAATGCAGTGTACAGACACATATCTTAAGCAGCAGTTGGGTTTAAAATTCAATGCTATGTTTCTTTTTTTCATCAGTGAGATTGTTCCTGTTGTAATGAAGATATCATGAAATGAACAACAGGCTTTACCAGAAGCTATCTACTGGTTGAACTGTAACAGGTGGCACCGAGTTCTCGAGCGAGTCACGGGTCCTGGTTTTATACTCGACTTCTCTTTGCTTCTGTTGGCGCTGGTGATGTTGAACAGGATACTCGGATGATGAAGCTGTTGCAGATGAACCATTTCGCGATATCATTACATCCCGAAAGCAGAAGCTTTGATCGGATCTGAACCAGGACGAGGTTGATGCATCTGTTTCCGACGGGACAGCTGGTCATCGACTCATTTGACCTGAGTTCTAGCAAAAACCCTAATAACAGATCTTGATGATGCTCCACAAGCTTCCTTTTTTTTTCCTCTTTGTGTTAGAGTTAGATTGCAAGCATGAAGAATAATCATGTCAAATTCTAGTACCCAATGGTTTCTGCATGGTGCAATGGTTGAAGAAAATTTCAAATAAATATATAGATTTGTTAAAATATTATTGATAAAACATAAATTTCAAATGAATATATAGATTTAACAGCGTTAGCAAAAATAACGTTTTTCTGTGAAAGGCACGTATTTCTATGTGTGTACATCATTTTTTTGTGTATTTTGTATTTTTTGGAATTTTTTCCCTATTAAAGCTCTTATATTAGTTTGCAAAAAATTGAAAATTAATGTATTTTCGTGAGATAAAAAAATTTTGTTTATTTATTTGAGATGTTTTCAATAATATATGAAAGATGTAATTTTTAGATCATGTCATAAACAAAGACCATACATATGTATGTATACGTACATAGCACAATCACATTCCACACGACGGTGAAGAAGAAGAGCCAAACATAAAATGCTCCTATTACCACTGCATGTGGTGGCGGTTGGATCCTTAGAAACGAAATGAAGATGGTGAAGGAGATGCTTTTTGAATGGAAACAAAGCACGTTTCATCGAACTCCGCAGCCTACGAATCAATCGTTCGAGCTGGTCCTCGAGTTCGCCAACTCCAACAGGCTCATGCCCATCTCATCGTCACGGGCTATGGCCGAATCCGCAGTCTGTTGACAAAGCTCGTTACTTTGGCTTGTGCCTCTCGTTCGATCGCCTACACTCGTCTACTCTTCCTCTCGATCCCGTTTCCCGACGCTTTTCTCTTCAACTCCATCATCAAATCCACTTCAAAGTTCCACTTTTCGTTGGATTGTGTTTGGTACTATCGTCGTATGCTCTCTGCCAATGTCCCTCCATGCAACTACACCTTCACGTCCGTGATCAAGTCTTGCGCCGATTTAGCGGCTTTGCAGATTGGTAGAGGGATCCACGGAGACGCGCTGGTTTCTGGGTTTGGAATGGATCCATATGTTCAAGCTGCTTTGGTCGCTTTCTATTCCAAGTGCGGCGAAATGAAATTTGCACGCCAAGTGTTCGACAGAATGCCTGAGAAGACTGTTGTTGCGTGGAATTCGTTAATTTCTGGGTTTGAGCAAAACGGGTTGGCGAAAGAAGCAATTGGGGTGTTTCATCTGATGCGGGATTCGGGTTTTGAACCAGATTCAGCCACATTCGTGAGCGTTCTCTCTGCTTGTGCACAGACGGGCACCATTAGTTTAGGCTCTTGGGTGCATCAGTACATTGTCTCTAAGGGTTTTGACGTGAATGTTGTGTTGGGTACCGCTTTGATCAACTTGTATTCAAGGTGCGGTGACGTCGGTAAAGCTCGGGATATCTTCGACGGCATGAAGGAAAGAAATGTTATTGCTTGGACCGCAATGATCTCTGCATATGGAACTCATGGATATGGCAATCAAGCTGTGGAGCTATTCCGCGAAATGAGAAACTATGGACCGATGCCTAATAACGTAACCTTTGTCGCCATTTTGTCAGCTTGTGCTCATGTTGGACTCGTCGAAGAAGGTCAGTCGGTCTACGAGAGCATAAGCCGAGATTACGGGTTTATTCCAAGTGTGGAACATGATGTTTGCATGGTAGATATGCTTGGACGGGCCGGATTTCTCGATGAAGCGTACAGATTCATCATGAAACTTGACGGTAAAGGGACTGAGGCAGCTCCGGCAGTGTTGACTGCTATGCTGGGGGCTTGCAAGATGCACAAGAACTTTGATCTCGGTGTACAAATCGCCAAGCGTCTCATAGAGCTCGAACCAGAAAATCCCGGGCATTACGTAATGCTCTCGAATATCTACGCTCTGAGTGGCAAAACAGACGAGGTAGAGGGCGTGAGGAACGCAATGATTGGAAAAAGCCTGAGAAAGAAAGTCGGGCATAGCGTGATAGAAGTCGAAAGGGAAGCGTATCTGTTCATCATGGGTGACAAGTCTCATCCTGAGACGAGAGAAATTTACCAGTACCTAGACACGTTGATGAGCAGGTGCCGAGACATAGGGTATGTTCCGGTGGATGAAGCGGTGATGCATCAAGTCGAGGAAGAGGAAAGGGAATTCGCACTTCGTTACCATAGCGAGAAACTTGCTGTAGCTTTCGGGTTGTTGAAAACAAGGAATGGAGCCATTAAAGTGGTGAAGAACCTTCGGATCTGCGAGGATTGTCACTCGGCTTTCAAGTACGCATCGGTAGTAGCCGACAGGGAAATCATTGTTCGTGATAAGCTTCGGTTCCACCATTTCAAAGCTGGTTCATGCTCTTGCCTTGACTACTGGTAATGAAATATTGTTAACATTATGTTATACAAGATCTTGATTGAAGGAAGATAGGATAATAAAAGGGTTTAGATTTCGGACAGAGTCTGTCAAGCGTGATGCAGCTTTAACTAGGGGTCACCAAACCCTACCAAACCGATTTATACCGAACCGAATTAATTGAATCTAACCCTTCGTCGATCATATATCACCGATTAATATGCAATATCTAATTAAAATATATATATATATATATATAAAATTGGGATTGTTTATTTAGTTTTACATAATTATCTTTAACATTTTTCTTAGATAATATTCAGAAATTTGTTTTATTTATTAGTATAACGAAGATTAAAATCAGATAATCATTTAGTTATAAATTTTCAAAATCCAAATTAATCGTATCAAATAAATCTAAATTTTCATAATCCAAATTAACCGTAACCAAATAAACCTGATTTATAATTAAATCGTTCCACTATACCCTAAACGGTAGTTTTCAGGTTCTTATGGAGGAAAAATACCTTTAATTGTCTCTTTTGATCCGGTGTGTAAAACTATAACCCTTTGTTGAAAAATTCCAAACTATAATTTATCTTCCAAGTACAATTGTTCATGTATATATGTATATACATTAAAAAATGATTTTGAATCCTGAATAATGAAGAACACAATAAAAAAAAAACAGAAAACGTGATGTGGGGGTAAAAATGAAAATATAATTTCTCCATCCCATGAAGAGGAAGAACCCTAAGAAAAACTTTTGTAGGGTTCCTTCCTTCTTCTCAAGCTCACAATGCAGAAGGAAATGAAGCTTTCCTGTGCCTCGAACTCGATCTTTTGTCTCTCCCACGCCTTCTGACAGGGGTCGTACTCACGATCCTCTCCCTTATGCGACTTCCGTAAGACAATTTCCGAGGCAAGTCGACGTTCAAAGGCGGTGGAGGAGAAGGAGGAGGCAGTAGCCGAGGTCGTCTCCTCGCCAACATCTCTTGTTCCGCTCGATGATATCTCTGCAAATCCAAGCAATGAAACAGGTATTTTTAACGATACCCAATGGATAAAAAACCCGAATATGTATCAAAACCGATATAAAGTTTGGATCTTTATCGGTGTTTTTCCCAAGAAAACACGAAAAGACGGATCTTTTATTCACCTGAACCACAAAGTTGCGTCTTTCGCAGTCAAGGAACATATTGAGGGTCCATTTTGTTTTGGATGTGACCTTGTCTCTTATGGTTGAGAAACTGATTTGATCTCTGGAAGTGAAGCGGTCCACTTCATTGAACCAGAGGCAAGTAAATAGGTTACTGATGGGAACATGCTCTCTTATAATGACACAGCCTTCTGGAACATCTGCAGATCCAATCATAAAGATATAAGCTTTTCTTTTTTTTTAAATCCGAAACCAAGAAGGCGATTCAAAGATGATCAAGAGAGATACGGGAACGAAGACTTACCACTTGTGATCGGGAGTTTAGCCTCGGAATAAGGGGTCAGGCCCTCGTTCTTATAGAAATTCACTTGAAAGTCAATGGAAGCGTTATCATATTTACCAGCAGCTTTATTTGCTTCGGCTTCAACCAGTACATCAAACCGTTTGTAATGTCTCGAGATTGCAAATGTGGCATTTTTCCTCCACAAGAACCTGAAAAAGGTAAAAGCTTTTAAAAGTTTTAACACGGTTAACTATCTTACCATCGATAAATGAGCACAAATCATAAGTAGATACAACAGAATCAACTAGTTGCTTAAGGAAATTCACCCAAAAGAAGAAGAAAGGACAAAAAACAGCAGAAACCCTACATTAGAATTCACATTTAAGACTAGAGCTATGTGTTGGTATCTGTAAACATCGAAGCAGAATTAAATGATGATTGAAATAGTATGGTGATACCAAAACTGGTGAGATATCCTAGAGATAGAAAATTTCAAAGAGGAAAGGCTACCGCGAGATAGATACAACAACAATTTACCTCTCGAGAATTTGATAGGGATCTACTACCAGCTCAAGCTTCCCATCAATCCATATCGAAAACCGAGCATTTGGAAATAACCTATGCACCAGAAGCTTCGGTATCTGCCATAAATAGAGACCTTCAGCAAACGGGTTCTGCTTATTTTTTTTATATTTTGCATCTATGGAAGGAATCAATAGATCATCTCCTTAGTCCTTACAGCTCAAATATTTCTATTTTAGGTATCAGAATAACTGAAGTTTCTTCTTTTCTCTTTCTCTCTAAGAATAAGTTCTTACTCTCTTATACTATACTCTCAAGAAGAACAGAAAAAAAATCATCCTGAACTATAGTAAATAAAACACAAGCCATTGTTTCAGAAAGAGAAGTGCATATATGTATATATGACACCGATAATTAGCATGTGATAGAAATGCCTACCTTTCCATTGCGCCGTCCATCTGAATAAGGAAGATTTTGAACAACGACGATTCTCCATTTTCCTATTTTCTTAGTGTCGTCAAGGCCTCGTTCTCTCTTCAAAAATTCACGAGTTTCTTCATCGACAAACATGTAGAAACATACGGTTTCTTCAGAATGCTTGCTGATCCTTTTTGGCTCCTTTACATCATCAAAAGCACCTGAAAAAGAAGAGAATTTTCCATGAGAAAACAAAACAAAGGGCTATAAGGTTTACTCAGGGAGAAAAATATCAACCGACACTCTACCAAATACTGCTGAAGCAACAACTATCCCATGGCATTGCTCCATGTCACGAAGGTCAGACTCATCAATGTCAAATCCGGTTCCACGTCCCGGTTGAGGTCCTTTAACAAATCTAGTAAAGAATTAACTTTGATTTCAGCAGGTAACAGTCATAAGCTGGCATTTCAGACAAACAAATACCAGACATGGCAAAACAGACCAGAACATAGCAAAGAACACTTACCCACAGTGCACGCTCATTGTGTCTTTAATGTCAAAAGAATCATTCCTCTGCTTCAATGAAGGATAACCACCAAATTCTGACCCTCCAAACTCGGTTTCTTTGTTTAGCGGTTGCTCATATATATAGCTTAAGTCCTTCAGAACGGGGGAAAATGACGGAGCTTTTGGCATCAAGGCAATTGCTTCTTCCACCGGAAGGTAACAGACTGGGCATGCTGAAATCAACACCAGATATAACAGAGCAGTACGACTTACACACACCGTCTCGAAAAGTTAAAAACTCGAAGCTTTCTCACACCACAACAAGATGAATCATGTAGTGATCACAGAAAAGGAGAAAAAACGATACAGAGGAGACCAAAAGAGATCGAGAACTAAAATCTTACGCCTTGGCCCGGTTCTCTTTTTGTCAGCCGGAGGGGGAGGCAATGTGAAACTGTTACACGGATGTCCTTGAGGAAGCGTATAGCCAAGAAAATATGGAGGAGGAGGTGGTGGGTACACGGAGATGTCTATCGAGGAAGATAGATTTCGGTTATAGCTGATTTTCTGAGTGTCGGGATCATTTACAGTCGAGTTTATTACGTTCAATTGTAGACTCGAAGGACCTTGAACTTCCCGAGCATCTTCACCTGAAACATGAATTACCGGCCATACGACGCCAAATCAATAGGTAAGAGCCTTGATTTCGATACGTTTTTTAACGAATGTACATTCCAGATACAGTGTCATATCCTTTTACATTCTTCTCCATCTTTTTTTTTTTGGTTTGAATTCTTCTCCATCTTTAGCATAAAGCAAAACATGAATCAATGATTGTCCAAGATATCAACTGAATAATTGAGTCGAAGCACACTAAACTAACTTAACTGAAAAAGAAGAACCCATGAATCAGAATTCCAAAAGGATGTGATATTCTGATATCTGCAATGAAAAAGCGAAGAAAGCTTATTACCTTTTCCGACATAAAGGACCCAAACGAAGACGATGGCAGAGATTAAGCAGAGAAGCAACATGCCCACCTTCTTACGACCTGCGAACTTGCAGATCCAATGAACAATCCCTTCTCTGTCCTTCTGCATCTTAGATGGTTTGCTTCGTGTCGTCATCGTCGTCTGGAGAGGCAAAACGATGCCGTTCTGCGTCGTCGTCTTCTCCAAGGAACCATAGCTACTGGATCGAATGCCCAATCCAGTCATCGTTCCTCTTTCCCCTTTTTCACTTCATCAAATCTCCAATTCCAAAGCACCGACAAAACTCGAAATTGAAGTTTTTACTCAATTCAGATCTAAGATTTTAGCTAATACCCAATTGATGAACAAGGTTACTCCGACGAAATTCAACTTCAAGTTTGCGAATTTGATTCTGGGTTCAATTGAAATCTGAAACAAAAAAAGAAACGAATCAAAGGAATCTGGCTCGTTTGCCCCAGAATCTGAGAATTTAATGAATGACAAAAACAAAAAATTAGACCGGGAGAATTCAACCGAGGAACCTCACAGATCAAGAGAATTCGGATGATAAAAAGGAATATAGAATCGAAAAAAAAAAGAGGGGATAAAATCTAGGGTTTGTGATTGGAAGACAGGGTTTTAAGATTCTAGAATTCGCAAAATCAAGGAGGCTCCTTTCATAAAAATAAAGACACAAAAAGTCAGTATTTTTATTTTTTACCGAACAAAAAATACTGTCCGAAATTTCACAAATAAAAAAACTTTATATAATAAAGGAAAGCTAGAAGTCAAGGAAAACCAAATTGGACCAATGTATCTGATGGTCCAACAAATTCGGATGGCGATGGGTCTATGAAAATAAAAATCATATATTATTTTTACTAAATTATAGAATAAGTCGATTATTTAGTTTAATTAGTTGATCATTATCTCTATTTATTTTAATAGTTAATGACTTCGCATCCAATTGGGAAACTCTAAGGGGTACACGTGGCAGTCTATTTGTTCTGGTTGAAAACTAATTGTATATAATAATAATTTACAGAAAAAAAAGTTTTTGTTATTGTCCAAAACATCCATGTAAGCATCATTATTATTTGTGACAACTAAGATTTAAAATAATTGTGTTATTTGATTAATACCCAACTGACAATCATGAATCCCACCTCATCATCGCATTATTCTTATTTCACGCACTCCTGATATATTTTTATTTGATTATTTATTTTAGTCTTCTGGCACAACAAAATCATCGTTATCGCCTCAAATTTTGTAATCTTTAAAAAATTATATCTTTCGATTTTAATATCACAATTTCAGTACCTTTTATTTGCTTTTCACTAGCAATTAATTGCTATATAAATAATTTAAAATATTATTATAAATAAATTAGAACCATGATACATCATAATAAATCTAAAAAATTAAGGTTAGCATTCGCTTCAATTATTTATAAACCGGTTTATTTGAACCGGATAATATACAATCATAATCGAATCGAATTCGATATAAAAATTAAATAGTTATAGTATTTTTTATATTTTTATAACTGAATGCAAAGCGATTCAAAATCGAATATGAAAATTAAAAAAAAAATCATAATAAATATTGTTATCATTAAAAACTATATTAGAATATTAAGGATTTAATATACAAACTATACAAATCGAGTGGATATATTTTGTTTAAAATAGGAAAAAAAAATGGAGAAAAGCCTAATAACACTGAACAATATTCGAACTTAAAGCCCAAAAAAAGCCCATCCCATAGAAAACAAGTGCAAAACTCTACATTTTTAATCAAACAAGTATCATTTCTAATTCGCTGTCGCTTTGGCGTTCTCCTCCTCGGAATTCACTTTCCCATCTCCATGTCGGATTCTCTCCACTACCCTCTCCGTCCTTGTCGACCGGTGTGCTGAATTTCATCTCTTTTCGACGATCCCGTGGAGATCGAGACGTGGGTCTTTCTCCTTCGTCACGGCCCAGATGATTTGTTCTGCTGAATCAGAATCCGTCGAAAATGGAAAAATAATCGCCAGAGATTGGAATAGCGAGTTCATCGAGGGGTTTTTGTTGGGTTTTCCATATCCTCTCTGCTGCGAAATTAGAGTTTACAACAGCAGAAACCCTTCCTGCTTCCAATGGGAGTCGTTCTTCTTCTTCTTCTTCTTCTTGTTATTATTTTATCTCCGATTCAAGACCCAGAAGAAGTGGATAATTTCGTTCATATAAGAGAACATAATATCATTGATCATATAGAAGACTCGTAATCTCGATCATATCTTAAAAATACGATCCATGAAACCACGTGTGATATTTTGCCTTTTTGTAGGTATTTTGAGAATTATTTTGTAAATTGAGCATTGGATAGGTTATTGCATAATCCCAGGCCTACATTCGTTCATGTCCATTTTAACACTGTCGGGTCAAAAGGGTTTTGACTTGTGAACAGTGGAGCCAATTTAATTTCATATTTATTCACGTCTTATAAAATATTTTTGAGAATTATTTTGTAAATTGAATGCACGGATTAATAGTACATCATTAAAATCGAAAACCCATTATATGGAGATGAAAGTAAGTCACCGTGAACCAAATATTTAATTGTATAAATCTAAATGCGTTCAATATTTTATTAATTTAGAATTTATTTTTGTAAAACTAGAATTATAACCAAAACTCTTTTTTAGGGTTTTTTTTTTCAAAAAGGCAAAAAAGTTTAATTAAATTGGTCAAACTGCTTTCCCTTTCATGCCACCTCCATGGCGCATGTGGGGCATCAAAGATTCATTGTCTTCACATGAAATTTTCTTCTCCTTAATGATAAAATCAACTTTAATTGTAAATTTGTAATGTATATTCAATTTCCAATTGCATTTCATAAAAGCAAACCTCGGCTTATATAAAGAAATATTCAAACTACAAGACAAGAAAATTCAATGGGACCATACCACAAATCATTCACCCCATATGGTTAGTCCACCTTATATCATGAATTTAGAACACCAAGAAAGAAAAACAACTATTTACATCCAAAAAACGAATATACTATTATTGTGTCTAAAATAACATAAATCCCTTCTATACTATTACTATCCATAGCTGTCATTCCGTCCTAAAACCAAAAAAAAAAAATATTTACCAAATGATGATAGCTTATATTTTAAGTTTTTAGTTTTTATAATATTTGTAAACCCAAAAAAAAATAGAGTTTTTGGTGTCTAATTGATTTTTTTTCACTAGAATAGTTTTCCAAGTTTAAAAAATAAAAATAAATTTACAAAAATTATTGTCAATTTTTTTTTATTTTAGATTCTAAAAACTCCAAAAAAAATCCATCCATCTAACCTCACAACAATTGAGTTCAAAAGGTGAAAACTAGGGAAGTTATCACCAATATCATGAAATGAAACATTTCTATTCCATTATATAAAACCATTCAAAGAGAATATAATCATATCCAAATCAATTCTAAAATTAAAAATATAATTAAATCAACATATATGCCAAAGTTCAATCTAATATAAAAAATATATAATCAAATCGAAATCTATACCAAGATTCAAAAGTAGGCCAATCTTATGAAACGAAACATTCCTATCCGGTAATTGCATCCAAATCAAAGCTGATATAAAATTATAATCAAATCGAATTTTTATACCAAATGTTGAAAAGAAGTTTATGTCCAAACATGATAAGAGGAAGAAAAGAAGAAGAAAGTCAAAGATTCCTTGCCCTTTAATTAAAACTCTTTGACAGCTAAGCCCCCACTGTTTCCGCCTTCAAATCAAAATGTACTTTCCTTCTCAATTTCCTCGCTTCTTTTCATTCATATCCAAGGGAAGTTGGACCCATTCAGACCCAAATTTCCAAACCCGTTTCTTCAATTCCCTTTCTTTTCTTTTTTTTTTAATTGGCCAAATTCAAGAACACGCACACAACAGATATGAACAACCAAATCTCAAAGTTACCCAACTTTTTTTCTGTGAAACAATATATGAGATTTGATAATGAACTAAAGCGTATAAAATTTCATACTAATCGAAGCGATGACTTAACCTCGATGTATACCATTACAAGATTTCATATATATTTCCCTCACCGGAATCAGCATTCATCATCGCCCATGTTATGAAATGAAATCACAAATATAAACACTTGAAGGAGAGTGAAAAATTTCTTAAAAAAATAATCAGGGCTCGTCTCAAGAAGTAGCGGCGGCGGAAGAACCTGATGAAACACGAGGAGAAGTCACCGGAAAAAGAGGGAGCAGTCGGATCTCCGAGTCCCTTGGCGTCGTCGCCGGCGAAGGATGCAAGAAGAACCCTTTCTCCTTGATCGCTCGCTCTTCCAAATCGACACCAGATTTCGATTCACACTGGATTTTGGAGACGAACCCGGATTCGTTCGGGCTCTGAATCGACGACCCGGATCTATCAAACGGGTCGGGTATTAGAGGAGTGACCGGGCTGAGGACCAGAGCCGGGAAATCCAAGATGCTCGGGGAGAGAATCTCCGGTTTACGGGGGGAGAAACCGGAGTAAACTGGGTTGATCTTGAGATTCTTCAGAGAATTGCGACGCTCGTAGAGACGGAAACTGGAGCTGTGTTTCTTGTTGGGTACGGCTTTGATGGGAGGGATCGAGTGAGAGGGAGATGATTTCGGGTCGGGTTGGTGCGTCGGGTTGGAGACGGACGATCCGGTGAGCATCTGGACAACTTGTTTGAAGGAGGAAGTGTCGGCTTGGACGAAGGTTGTCGGGTAAGAGTTTCCGGGCTCGGATCTGGTGGAAACGGGTCGGGTCGTTGTCGGAGAAAAGGGTGGCTTGGTCGTGGTCTCGGTGGCGCTGTTGCAGCTACCGTGGCTTGTCGGAGAAGGAAGAAGATTCGGTGCGTCTCGGAATCTAGGCGAATTCTCCATTGGAGAAGAGCTCGGAGAGAGAGAGAGAAAGAGAGGAGAGAGAGAGGTGACTAAGAGTTGGGCTGTATTTTGGTTTGGTTTGTGGCCCTTTTAGTCTTTCTCTCTATCTCTCTCCTTGCACCCACGCGCCAATTGAGGAGAGTGATGTACACGCGCTAAATTCTACAAGTACAAATTACCACGTGGATCTAGGCCATTGGAGTGTGAACTGTGGTATATTTTTTTTTGGATAAACTGGACGATTCCGGACCTTCGACCCGACTATATCTAATCTAAATTCGGGATCAGCCTTTGTATATGTATCATTTTAGTCCAAAAATTATATCTCTTCCCATAAGTGGAATCGAATTCAAAATTTTGAATAAGACTTTGTCACCTCTCAACTATTGATCATCAACTGTTGGATAATTGTGGTATATTTATAACGTAACTCTATTTATTTTGTTAATTTAAATGAACAAAAACTATAATGACAGTATAATATACCACAAGTTGAAAGCTTAAGAAGAGATTATTTATCGATTATGATAAAATATTATGATATAACATTTCACCAAAAATATCATGGTATAACCACATATATATATATATATATAGCAAAACAAAAAAAAAAACAAATTCAAACATAGACAACATACAAATCTTGAAATTTTCGCAAAAGAACACACCCTTTTTGTATTCTGTTTAAAAATCAATTTTAAGCAATTTTTAGATAGATTTCAGAAAATCACTATGTAACTTTGTTTAATAAAATTTAATAACTATATGTTCGAATTTCAAGGACAAAATATTGGATAGCAAAAATACTAACCATCCTTTTTTACATTTTTTTTTGCCCCTCTGACACTGAAATGGATTAGAAGATATGTCTGCCACGTGGCCGACCATTTGACAGCTGATTTCCCTCCAAATCCAAGAATCGAGTAAACCCTCTTCCAAGGTTTTATCGTTCAGCGTAACGTTATTTTATTTAAATAAGAAAAAGCAATAACAATATATTCGGTATGGGTCATCTTGGGAACATTGAAATGCTCTTGGACAGCTGTATTTGAATCCCGAAAATTATACTGTAGCTTGAAATGATGCATTTTCAAGTTAATTCACATATAACTTGGTATTCCTAATCAAATGATTCGGCAATTCCTTAATCTTTGTAAACAAGATCCGTCGTGTTATTTTGATTTGTAAAACTCATTAATATACGCAAGATATTACCGTTTTATTCGACGTAAGAAAGAACACAACATTAACTTTTAAAAGAAAACTTGGTAATGAAAAGCTAACAACAAAAACCCACCTCGCAGACATTAAAATCATAACCATAGATATATAATATTTAAGTTTAAAAAGCAACTAATCAACGAGGGCAAGAGGGCTCGAAGGCGAATGGACCGACGTCGAAGAGGCCGTATTTGAGGTTGTTAACGACAATGATACGTTTAGACTTGTCCTTAACCGGTGTAAGAACTCCTCCTACGTCTCCGCCATGGAGTTTAGACGGTTTGCTGCATTTAGGGTTTGCAGATTTCACGAGCTTGACCATGCATCCTCTGAAACCGTAGTTGTTCACCGTCTTTGGCGCCAACAAAAAGAAATATCCTTTCTCGTCGGTAATGGCCTCTTTCACTGAACCGGTTTTGCCCTTGCACATGAATCTTACCACCGCACCTGTTACAACAACAAGTTCGGATCAATACGTACACCTGTATATATGAACATGCGAATATGTGCGTACATATAGCATGAAGGGCATTGCTGGAATGGACAGATTGGATTAGTACCTTTGACGGGTTTAGCACCCAAGAGAGTCTCAACGCCGGCGTACTTGCAATCCTTGCAGTAAACCATTCCTTGAACCGCCACATAACTCCTGTTAAACTTCGGCGGGTAAACGGGCGGTAGAACCGGTGGGTGAGCCGGCGGCTTAACCGGTGGATGTACCGGTGGCTTGGTCGGGGGCTTAACCGGTGGATGTACCGGTGGCTTGGTCGGGGGCTTAACCGGGGGTTTGGCAGGAGGGTAAGCCGGATGTGGAACCGGTGGATGAGCCGGTGGTTTGGGGTGGTGGTGTTTGTGGTGGGAGTGAGGGGAAGGTGCGACAGCAGGGGCTTGACTAACGTGGTTCACTTCTTCAGTGAAGACAACTGAAGTGAAGCACCAAAGTGCTACTACAGACACCAACACGCTCTTACCAAAGAAACCCATTTCTTTCTTTCTTCGGGTTTTGGCTTGTGATGATCTGTGAGTACGTGCCAGAAGGCTTTTTATAGGGAGGTTTTAGCCCCCCTTGACATACGTATGCGTGTGTGTGTATGTATATATATTAATATTCTAAAAGTTTTAGTAATATTATATTTAATTTTATTTTTTAATATTTATAATAATTTTAAAAAATATTTTCAGATGGTATTTTTTATATCTTGAAAATTTATAATTATTTATTTTGAATAATGAAAAATTATAATATATATTATATCATGAGGATTAATTAAATAATAATACTGTAACGTAACTTAAAATATCATGTTGTTTTGTGCGTATCGAGATAAATATTGAAATTTACGTTTAAATTAACATTTTGTGTCATACGATTTGCTCCTTTGATGAAATGTTATTCATAAACGGAATAGAAAAATCCAATAGGTTTAAAATAAATTCTCTCCTACTAAGCCATCAATCATCCTTTTTATTTTTTAAATAAATTCAATAAGTAAATCTATAGAAATACTAAGATCCAGCCTCTAATATCATACCGTACATACATCACATATATATATATATATATATCATTAATGTCGTTGGACCGATTCTTCTGTTTGTTTGTTTTTCTTGATACAAAAACAAATATATAAGACCAGAAGGAGTATATCGTGAATTTACCACATTTTCCTCCCAAAAACATGGCTACGTTGCGTTTGTGTTTTGTCTTGAACTTTAACAAATACGTTCGGACTAAGTAAAATTAAAGCGAAGAATATATTATTGATCTCGAATTAGTAGAAAAAAAAATATTATTTACATATATGTAAACCAGAATTTTTAACTTGGATCGAATCGAATACTGAAAAATAAATAAATAAATAAAAGAAATATGTTATGTGGTCAAACCATTACATTATTTTCCCCGGATGCAATTATAATATATATATATATATATATATTATACATATATAACTAAAATTTAAGCCAAGGTAGACATTTCCGTTTGGTTTTTCAAAACTGAACCACATCGAAACCAAAAGTTACAAAGTTACGTTACGTTATTTTTTTCGATCCAAACTGTTTAAAATTTACGAGCGGTATTAATTTTAGAAAAATTGAATTTTTAAGAATCCAAGTCAATAGAACCGAATTTTAAAAAAAATCCAAAAAACCCAATTTTTTTAAAGAAGTTTTAATTTAAAAAATAGAACCGAACCGAAATCAAAACCGAACCGAACCAAATATATTATAATAACCGATTAGTGTATATTTCTGTAAAACCGAAAGAATTAAACCGAACTATTCTCTAGACTCGAACCGAATCCCTGGATCCCTAAATTTAAGGAGAAAATACATAAATGAGCCGATAAGATGAGGGACAGACAGACACATGGTGAGTGGCCGAAGCAATCGGCTTGAAAGATCAACCTCTTTTGCGTGGCGATGCGAGTTTCATGGACAACTTGGAACCTTCTGCAACCCTACTTAATATATTTGCTTTATAAATTAATCGATTATGGTATAATAATTAATCATTTCATAATTTATCAATCGAATTTGATTAGATGAGATCTTCATGGACAAAATGAATATAAAACCTGAACCCCATATGAATCCATTATATTATACATTTGCAACATTTGGAACAAATGATAAATTAATGAAATTATTATTCTCGGTTTAACTTATGTATGTAATTCGATTCATACCCTGAAAAAACTCGAATTTAGGACATCGATCCAGACAGAATTATTATAATGGGACATGGTTGCGGATCTAGATGCAACTAAAATAGTAACTTTAATTATGTGCAAATTGCAATACATTATATTGTCTTCAAAATAAATATTTTTTCTTTAAAAATATTTGAAGATTCATCTGGATATCAGATTTGTCTCCGACTATTATCGAAGAAAGCTCACGTGAAGTTCCAGTTATGCCTTCCCAAGACACCGCAAAGAAAATAAAATTAATTAGAATTTATGATGATAAATCTTATCAATTTTGAGGAGGTTTATTATAATAAAATTTAGAAATAAATAACTCATCACATATTTACTGAAATCGAGTGATAAAATCATAATTATCGGTAATGACAATCAATAACAACTAATCTAATTACGTGTATTGCTACTTATTATTTATATTTCGATTATATTCTATTATGATTTTGTAAAAACACAAAAAAATTCTTATATTTGAATATATATGTGTGTCTATATATATATATACATTGTTTTTACACATACACATGCATCCGAAAGTGTATATTGCATATACACATATTTACAAATACGTATACTGCGAGAAAAATTTAACCGCCTAGACAAAGTAACCGGATGTAAGATAATTTAATTATAGTTTATGGAAAAATCTTATAAAATTAAAAGATAGTATATTGTTTGAGAAATAATTTTTCGTAGATACAAAGTGGTGCGAATTTAATGGTTTGTAAAACCTATAAATGCACATCAAAATCCGTGTTATCATGATGTGTATCATTTAATGCAATTTAAAGTATGTGATTAATTCTCCTTTTTTTTACAAAATGATAAATTAATCTTATTTATGATGCTAATGTAATTTTCATTATCTATGCACGATAATGTAAATTAAACCAGTATATCGCTTTCAACTCGACATTTTAACGTTATACCACCAAACGAAGCGGCCTCGACTTGATGTATATTTTAAATTATTTTCGAATTCCATTTTTTATAAAGTGTGTGTATATATATATATATATATATATTAGATATTTTTTATTTAGTGAATTATATATGAATTTTATAAAAATACATTTTCTATTATTTTTATACGCATTGGAATTCCATTTATAATTCTAACATATTATAATGGATTTCGCGTATGAGAAAAGGGACGCAAGATTTAAGAGAATATATTACCGAGAAAGCTGCTTAATTAAAATGTCAGATCGGACCATTGGGAAGACCAAAAGGTTGCGCGGAAGCTACAATACTCATCTTCACTTCCTTTTATAATTTATTTTGTCGTTTTTATCGATAAATCAAAAAATTAAAATTAAAACAAATAAATGGAACAACATTTTAACAATTATTAAAATGCTCACTGAGCCCATTGGTTTTTGAACTTCTAACAATTAAAAAATATGACTACGGGCAAACATTAAAGAAGCCAATTAGTAGTAACTAGAAGCGATTGTTTCCGCGTGCATGTCACGTGCTCTTCCTTTGTATCATGCTTTTGGTATCATATTTATTAAAAATTTAGAGTTGTCGTAGCTCTACTCAAAATTTCGGGGGGAATTAGGATATTTTTGGGTATAATATCCTCAATATGAAGGTCTGGGGTGAAGAAAGAAACTAAATCCATAAGATGGGGTTTAATCGCAATAAGAGAAACTTTACCTCGCCGTTGCAGATCTAGTCAGAAGCTTTTGAGTTTGCAATTGTTTGCGCGTGCATGTCACGTGCTCTTCCTTTGATCGCCGGCTAAATTTGCCTGAACTGAATAGATACGAATCAAATAATATATAAATTTTAATTTAATATATAGAAACCGATAGGTCATGATATTTTTATTATTGAAAATCGAACTAAATTCGACCAATTATAAAAATTAAAAAAACTGTAAATTTTATTTAGAAAATAAATATTTTTATCGTCAAGAACCGGATGCGAATCGAACGAAATTAATAAATAACCCGAATAAATATAGATTTTTAAAAATTGAAAGAAGCGAATCAGAACAGAATAGATTTGTACAGTGTAACAAGAATATGCCGCACTTTTTTGCTAAACATATTATTAATTGGTGAAAATGTAACGACTGAAATAATACTACCAATACCCTATCCAATTGATTCAGAGTTTTCATTCGATCAAGAGTTTTGGGTCAACTTTGAACATTTTTTGGGTCCTGTTTGATATTTTATAAACTCTTCGGGCGAGAAGGTAAATAAATAAAGGAGGAGTTGCTGTTTTGGAAAAGGAAAACGGTTAGTGAGGAGACCGATCCTATATAAATGAGTTTTGCAGAAATTGAAATTCAAATTTACACTCACTCGAGCGCGCGACACAGATTTCCTTTCTCCTTCTCTCTCTCGTTTCGCTTGGGCGATGTCATCTGCCAAAAAGAGCACTAAGAGAAGACGGCCGGAGCAGACGATCATGAAGCCAAAGCCGAAGCCGAGTGCAGAACTCCACGACGATCTCGATCTCGACGTTTCCAGGTACGTTTTTTTTTCCGGTTTTGATATTTGTTTCTGTTAATTTTAAGTGTTCGATTGTTTGAGGAAATGTTTTGGTGAATTTCGCAGCGATCTGAAAGGCATCATGTCGGCTCTGCAGCAAATCAGAGAGAAAGCGCATGAGGATGGTCGGAAGAAGAAGGAAGAGACCATCTCGAGGTGCAAATATGATCGTTTCGGTTTTAGTATAATTTCTCGTAGTGTTGACTTCTTCTGGATTGTGACTCGTTGAGGTGAAATTTAATGAATCTAAGTGCTGAAACCTAGGATTCCATGACGCTCTTAGCGACTTTCTCTGAATTCTTTTTGTGATAGCAATGTTGATGATCGTCTGTTTTTGAAACTTTTGGAATCATTTTTTTGTAATTTGCAGTCAGTGTCATAGCATTAACGTGGCATCTGGTTGAAGACATAGTAGTTAGGAGTGTTTCTTTTAGCTGATATCGTTGGTACAAGAAAATTAACCAGGTCTATTTAGGCTTCTTATGGTATGCTTTTTGTATGCCTTCGTTTTGGGATTGTTGCTGGGAAAAGCAACCATGGGATCAACTCTTGATTTCAATCGCTTTCTCAAATTGACTATTTTTTGCTGTACTCCTGGTTTCTCTTTTGCTTGCAGCGTGGCCTCTGAGGTAAAGTCAAAGATCGACGAGTTGAAGTCAAAACTCGAGAAAGAAAGGTAGATTTTCCATGGTTTAATGCATGATTGGTTTGGCGGCGGCGTATGTTTTAAATGGAAATGCAGTGATCAATTTTGTCCTGAACTCTCAAACATGCAGACAGAGCTTTGCCAAAGCACTTACCAAGAGCTCGAAAGAGGTCTGAGAGATGATTTCGAATATGGCTATATGGATGCTGTATTTCCTATTTTTGCGTCTTTGGAAAACCTGCAGCGAATTAAACAAGTGTATAAATATACTTGCAGTGTGAGAATATCTTGAAGGATGAAACTGCCAAGTTTCAGGAGCTTTATCACAAATTCTGCAAAGATAAGGACGGTCATATGCAGAGTTTGAAGGGTATTTTTATGTCTCCCTCTAATTAGTCATGTTCAGTTCGGAGGTTGGACCAAAAGTTCTGTTTGCCTTTTGTCAATTCTTTGCAGTAGAATGTGTGAACTAGAAATCATAAATCATCCCCTGAACTGTCTATGCACAAGTGAAATTATCTAGCATAATTATTTGGATATTTCTCATATCGTTTTCGTGTTCCTCTTCGACAGAAACCATTTCCAAGTTTGAGGAGGACAAGGAGAGGCTATACACGCGATACGAGCAACTAAGTGAGAGTCGCAGAAATAGACCCCCCCCCCCCCCCC